TGTGCCCAGGCTCCCTTTTCAGCAAGTTTGTTGCCCTCCAGACACTTTCTATTATAAAAACTACAATACTGATCCTGTAAACACGTATCTAACTTTACTCATGTGAACAGTTACATTGACTTCAGTTCAAGTACTCATGTGGGCTAAAGTATACATATGTAACATACGGTTTGCAGAATGGGCGGGGGGGGGGGGGGGGGTGTCTAAGCTAAGAACTGTTCAGTATTTCAGATCTGGATTTTATGACAGAAAAATGAGTTGAAGACAGGGACAAGAAACAGCTGCCAAAAGGCAAGATGGGCTTCTAGAAGATTGGAGGAAAGAGAAAGGAGTTCAAATAGTCCAGGAAACCAAAGAAAAAAAGGAGATTTAAAATGGTTAGAAACAACAACGAACAGGAAGGGTGGGATTTTCAAAAGTGCTCAGTGTTGGCCAAACATTGCTCCAATGGAGGTCAATAGCAAAACTCCCAGCAGCATTAGGCCAATGCGGAGTGCTTTTGAAAACCCCACCCTAAGTGTATTCTAAATATTAAGGAAAATCTGTTTACAACATTATCCACACTATTCCTATTCTTCCACTAGAATCTGCCTTTCCTATCGACGGACACATTGCATGAAGTGCACTAGAGCCACAATTAACAAATAGAGTTATGGAGGATAGGCAAAGTAGGATTCTTAAACTTCTACTGCTGATAAGAATGTACGCTGTCACCGAGGTTTATGTGAAACTCCCATTGGCTTCAATGGATGTTGTACATCAGAACAAAGGCGGGATATGGCCCTTATGTGTTAGCAAATCATTTCATATTGTAATCAAAGGGATCCGGGGGGGGGGGGAAAAGGGATACTGTATACCTTGTAGGACTCCCTAAACAGGAGAGCCATCCTCTCTGCTTGCTACCATAGGAAGGAATAGTCAAAAGTGAAAAAGAAGCATTTACTGAATCAGCAACAACAAATGAATGGTACATTTCTCACACACACACACACACACACACACACACACACACACACACACACACACACCCGCCACGTTGTAAATAAAGATAACGTAAGCATCTCTCCAACAACATCTAAACGTTCTCCTAATGAGTCTAGGATTCCTGATACAGCTGCTTCTAACTCCATAACACATGATGGTAGCTTTGCTTATTCCGAATATAGTCAGAAGTCTGTGTTGATTTTATGCTAAACTGGTGGGTGGTCATATGTAGAGCAAAAATGTCAGATTGCTTGTAATACTTATTACAAAAATCCTCATAAATATGACACTCAGCTACTGGGATCTCTAAACCTCTGAGAAATATGAAAAATAAGGGATAAAACCCAGAAAAATATATCTTTAAATTCTGTATGGAGCAACTTGAGAAGGAAATTAACAAATGCACACTCACCAGTGCGGGGCAGAGAACACCACCTTCTACTCAGGGAATGGTAGTGAGCCACACAGAAAGAAAGCTAACTCTTTATTCCTGACATTACCACCTTTGGGAACAGCTTGTAGACACATGATATGCCACAGACTGACCCCTGTCACATACACGAAGAAACAGTCGTCTAGTTGGGCTGGAAATCTGACACATATAGCTTATTGTTGGATCCACTGGAAAAAATGTGCCATTTCTATAAAAGCCCATACCTATCTTAATGTCACTGACACCAATGGAGAATTGTTACTAAGATTCATTAATCTTAGTAGCAATGTTTATATGCTTTACAAAGTGCACACTTTTTTCTCTAGCTTTAAAACATTAATTTCCTGCTCTACTGCCAGCTAGAGAGTATAAGAAAGCTATGGTCGTGTAATCAGAAGAATATACTATGAGAGTCCATGGGGTTCCCTTTATTACAGAATCAGTCAAATGGTGCCCCAGGTCAGTGGAAACCTGCAAGTGAGCCAG